GTTTACCTTCACAGACATAACCGACTGTTTTTGTAACTCGTGTGTTTTTAACGTAAACTTGTGTGTGAATGAGAACTTAGTTTAGTACTCGTACTCACATGCTGTGACAGCCGCTTTCTGTACATGTGCTTCGGTTGTGTGCGCTCAGAAAACCGTATATCAGAAGTTTAAACTAATATGGTTTAAAACGCATGATTTCAGCGCGATAAACATGATAATCAGAACCAAAACAGATATTTTTAGCAGGTTCGAGCTGTAATGGCGCAACTCTATTCTGGAAAAGGGGGCGGGGAGCAGCAGCTCATTTGCAATTAAAGAGACAGACCCAAAAAACAGCGTGTTTCTGCTTCCACTCAAAATAGGCATTTTCAAAATGTTATAATAAATGATCTGTGGAGTATTTTTTAGCTGAAACTAAACAGACACATTCTGGGGACACCAGAGACTTATATTACATATTGTAAAAAGGGGCATAATATGTCTCCTTTAAATATTGAGCTCTGTTGGCCCCCTTTTATAGAAGTGTTTCACTCTGCTTTCTATGGGACTGGTCCAGTTGAGATCCATGGAGATTACATAAGAAGTTATTTGTAGTGACATAAGCTCAGTTTGTTGCATTCCTATTTATAATTTGGTTGCCTTCACATCTTTTCGCAGCTGGAGACCCAGAGCCCGAAGATGTGAATCCCTGTTACTCTGGAAATCATGACTGTGACACAACCGCACAGTGTGTGCCGGGCGAGGGACAGCTGTTTTTGTGCCAGTGCGCCACAGGTTTCAGAGGAGACGGTCACAACTGTTATGGTAAGAGAAGTTATATGGAAAGCTGTAACTTCAATTCCAGGTCCTTGACACTCTGTTTAATCAGTCCAGGGTCTGGAATACTTCGGTAATAACCCAAAATGTTCGTCTGTCGTCATTAGAGCCATGCATCTGCATAACATCAACATTGCAGGTCGTTCAGAGGTGGGGTCATCACCACTGTAGTACATTAGCACGACCAGACATTTCCTATCGAATTAGTCAAACGCAAAGTAGAGGAAACCCACAGTGAATCATGAACGTGCCCAGGGGTCTTTCCCCCCGTCTGCTGTCTCTCATCTTCTTCCTCCCACTGTTACCAAGCCAAACAACAGAAAGACTAAACACTCTTTAGGTGGAATGTGGGAGATCTGTGGGGTTGTGGTGAGTCTGGGGAAGATTTGTAAGCGAAGACACATTGCTGTGGCATTTCTGTTTGAGCTGCACACACATAGGCCACATCCTCAGCTTTAAGCTTGTTGGGGGGCCCAGACCACCTGATATTTCCTCATTTGAAGAGGGGGGAGAGCAAATCTCACCTCCCCTCCGGAAAACTCCCTATGTACTCATACAGATGTGCGTTTTTTTTCTTGAGACCCGTATTCCAGATGATATTTGACATAGAGACGTAATGATGTCTGCATTGAGATCAATTTTTTTTGAGTCGATTCTGATTTAGTTGTTTGAACTGATCGCCAAAGCAAATAAGAGGTCGTAGCTGTAGGGCTGCATAAATGGCCATATTTTATAAATGGCCAAAGGCTGATCACAAATTGGATATATTGCCATCTTATTAAAAATAACATGTCATTCTAATTTGACAAGGAATCTGTTTTCTTGTGCTTCAAATTTAACATTCTGGGGTGTGTTTCCCAAAAGCATCGTTAGCTAACGATGGTTGTTAGTTCCACTGAACTAACGACGGAACTTGCGACCATAGTTGCTTTTGGGAAACGCACCCCTGGATGGGAAATTGTTATAGAGTATATCAATTGCAGCAGTGCATATATGCATAATATCAGAATCAAGATGAATGATTCATCTTAGATATTTGTATGAAGTTAAACTTTTCCCAGCTGTTGCATCGCTGAACTCACCAATATAGCATTGTAAAAACTGTTTTAATAAAAATTGATGTTTTTACAAGTAAAATTGCAAGTTGGAAAGAATATTGTGTAATAATTAACACTAATATTATTATTAATTAATATTAATATTGGTAATAATTGTGTTTATTTTGATGTTACAAATTACCTGCTGCAACCTAATCGGAAATGGTGCTGAACACAATCAGCAATTTTACTACAAAAATTACATTTTTAGATAAAATAATATTTAATAATATATTTTTTTAAATAAAAAATATTTCTGAGAATACATTTATGATTCATTTTATTTGATTCAAGGAATGGCTTATTTTATAACAGGTTGTTTGGAACAAATTGATACCAATTTAAAAATTACATTTTCTTTTTTGCACGTAAAAATGAACATTCTGGATGAGAAAGCATTATGGAGCAGTGCATATTGCATATGAATATCACAAACAAGATGAATGATTCAAAATAATTCTGACAATTTCTAAAGAAGAAATTTTCTGTGGATCGTTTTAATTAAATTAAAAAAGTTAATAAGCTCATTTTCATAAAGTTAACATCAGCTGTTTTAAATCACTGGATTCACCCATAAAAAAAAAACTATTATTTTCTCATTGAAATTGAATGACTTATTGCTGCTTTGCCATTTTTTCACAAATCTGTGAGAACCGCATAAGGGATGGGGGTTTTTTTATGAGTAAATGTTGGAAAGAATATTGTAAAACAATTCATATTTTAGAAGTGATTCTTTTGAATCATCCGAACAAAGCAATTCACCAGAATAAATCGGATTTCCCAGTGTGACTCTGAAGGCACTGTCTACGTTTGATTATGTGTGTGTGTGTTTTCAGGCATCATGTTCCTATTAGAGGATCATTTTTTCACCTGTCTGAACTCTTCATTCTAGAGTAGATAATAAGGGGGTCAAGGAAAGAGAGCGGAGAAAAATGAAGAGAGAGAGGGGGACCGTGTGTTCCTTACCCTCCCTGTAATTAACAATGATCAAAACCAGGTCTCCTGCTGACCAGCTCTTAACCCACCCAGAGCCTCAGGCCTTTTCCCACGCACTCCGACAGGGACGAGATCCCTTGCTATATTTATATATTTGCTATAAAGGCATGCTTTATCCCTCTAGCACCTGACTGACATGTTTGACGCACACCAAAGCACCTCATATAGCTTTTTTAGACACCCAGCGTCCAAAACAATGAATCTTGTAGTGTTATTGGTTAAGAGTAGAGCATTATGGGTTGTAATTGAGCAGTTGTTCTCTCTCTGTAGATGTGGATGAGTGTGCAGAAGGTCTGAGCTCCTGTGGTGCTCATTCTTACTGTGTGAACCTGCCTGGAAGCCATCGCTGTCAGTGTGAGAGCGGATTTGAGTTTGGATTTGATGGCCGGACATGTCAGGGTAAGAAACATCTTCATTTCCTGTGCCTAACAAACTTGTGTATTCCACATCGGATATTCTTATTTATCATTCAGAAAAAAATTTACATTTGATGCTTTACAGGAATTGGGCAGCTTTGAATGAAAAAAATGGCATGCCATGCAATTATACATATAAAATTACTATATGAAAATTACATTTCCAAACAGTCAAAGTAATTAATTATTTAATTAAATTAAATAATTTATTCACATTATTTGTTGTTGTTGTTGTTTATTCATTTTTCCTTTTATTATTTTTATTGCCACAAGTCTAAGACCTAAAGTTATCTGTCTTGATATCTTAAATAAATTCGTCAGTGGCTTTATTTGGAAGTACGGTATATAATATAAACTATGCTACTCTGTCTGCAGAATACAGTATTTACTCATAGAATGTCCATATAGCATTATTTCTTGACTTATTATTTGTTTGGACTGACAGGATTTTTTAAAATCTAATATAAATGATTAAAATCTTTTAAATATTAATATTATCTAATTAAAATACACTACCTTTCACCTATTACCTTTTTGAATGAATTTAATGCTTTTATTCAACAACAATCAATTCAGTTGATCAAAAGTGACAGTAAGGGCATTTGTAATGTTACAAATGTTTTCAAATAAATTCTGTTCTTTTGAACTTTCTATTAATCAATGCATCACGGTGCCCACAAAAATATTAAGCAGCCCAACTGTATTCTACATTGAAAATAATAAGAAAAGATTGTTGAGAACCAAAAAGACTGAAGTAATAGCTGCAGTAATTTATTCACAGAAATTACATTTTAAAATATACTTAAAAAGAAGGCAGTTAATTTAAATTGTAATAATATTTCACAAAATGACTGTGCTTTTACTGTATTTTTGTTCAAATAAATGCAACCTTGGTGAGCAACACCAACCTTTTAAACTTTTTTTCCAAAATAAAAACTGGATGATGCATGGCATCTTACGGTTTTAAATGTTTAATGTTATACTCTACTCTGTCCTATTTCACATACTATATTGCACAGTATGCAGTAAATCTAAATTAGCTTCTAAGAATATGGTCATCAGTTTATATGTGACTCAGTCTGAGTTGCGTGCTGTCAGTGGGATGTGATGTGTTGCAGAGGTTAAATGTTGGTAAATCACAGGCTCATTCTCTCAGCTGAATGCTGTAGGTGAAGGGTTTGTAGTGCGGAGAGAGGCATGGGTAACCAGAGATGCTGGGGAAGGGAAGGTATTTTTGAAACAATGACCCAATGTCCTCGCTCAGGGAATGTGCGTAGGAGACGAGCAGCTGAAGAACACAAGGGGGTCAGAGGACAGTTAACTCTTCTCCTTCCTGTTCAGTGCGCTCTGGTCTTTGACGGGATAGTGGGAGTTTGGAGCAACAGCTAGTATGACTCAGACTAACATCCTGAGAAAGCGGTTAATGTGGTGCTTGTTGAGTTACAGAGTGAGCGTTGTGTTTTGTGGTTTGTGCAGATGTGGACGAGTGTCGTGACCAGCCGTGCCACACCCAGGCCTTGTGCTCAAACAGTCCGGGATCTTTCCAGTGCCAGTGCCAACCGGGATACCATGGAGATGGTTTCATGTGCCACCCTCAAAATGGTAGTTGTTTGCAGATTTGGATTTGAACATTCTTTTATTCAAGTAAAGTCCCAAATTCTATAATATCTGGTTCATTTGCATTGAAGGTCATCCCAAGACCCAGTGTGAGCAGTACAGAGACAGTCTTCAGAGTGGAAATGGTGATGTTCCTCTGGTAGGAGCCTTCATCCCTCAGTGTGATGAGGAGGGTCAGTACAGGCCGCAGCAGTGCCACGGGGCCACAGGTCACTGCTGGTGTGTGGACAGTAGAGGACAGGAGAGAGCGGGCACCCGAACTCCACCCGGAACCCCATCTAGAAACTGCGATGAGCCAGGTAAGTAGTAGTCTACAGCAGAGGTGTCCAAACGTTTTACTATGAAGTGACAAATATTAAACTTTATTGAAGGCCATGGGCTGAAAGTATATTTTGCATTATATCTAACTATAATATATTAAAATATAGTTTTTTTGTATTTTTTTTATTTCATTTATTTTCTGTATAATTAAATGCAAAAAATACAACAAAACATGTAAAAAAAATACAAATAAATATATGCTTTAGTAGCATGTTTTTCCCGGTTTTTCCTGCTTCTTTGATACACATGGCAGGCCAAATCCAGGTCATCAAGGACCAACCTGCGGGCCCTGGTGTGGGCATCTTTGCTCTACAGGAACTTTTATTTTTTGGGAAATTATGTCACAGTCCTCTCTCAATAAGTCATCTGTCATATTTTAAATAATATTTCTAATTTTTAGTAATTAATTATCATGGGATCTGTTGCAATTAGTCTTTTTGTTGGAATAGACTGATGATCCTTCAGAAATCATTCTAATATGCTGATTTGATGCTCAAGAAACATTTCTTATAATTATCAATATGGAAAACAATTGTGCTGTTTAATATTTTGGTGGAAACCGGATTCGTCGCTGAATAGAAAGTTCAAAAGAACAGCATTTGTTTTAAATATACAGGTACATCTCAAAAAATTTGAATATCATGAAAAAGGTCAATATTTTTTGTCACTCATTTCAGAAAGTGAAACCCATATATTATATAGATTCATTACACATAGAGTGAAATATTTCAAGCCTTTATTTCTTGAAATTTTGATGATTATGGCTTACAGATAATGAAAACCCAAAATTCAGTGTCTCAGAAAATTAGAATATTGTGAAAAAGTTCAATATTGGAAAGTCATGGTGTCACACCCTAATCAGCTAATTACCTCAAAACACCTGCAAAGGTTTCCTGAGCCTTTAAATGGTCTCTCAGGCTGGCTCAGTAGGCTACACAATCATGGGGAAGACTGCTGACTTGACAGATGTCCAGAAGACAGTCATTGACACCCTCCACAAGGAGGGTAAGCCACAAAAGTTCATTGCTAAAGAAGCTGGTTGTTCACAGAGTGCTGTATCCAAGCATATTCATAGAAAGTTGAGTGGAAGGAAAAAGTGTGGTAGGAAAAGGAGCACCAGCAAGAATTTGGGGGAGCTTCCCAAGGAGTGGACTGAGGCTGGCGTCAGCGCATCAAGAGCCACTACGCTGACATTTCTGTTTAAAATATCCTTTTTTTTTTTTATTGATCTTATGTAATATTCTAATTTTCTGAGACACTGAATTTTGGGTTTTCATTATCTGTAAGCCATAATCATCAAAATTTCAAGAAATAAAGGCTTGAAATATTTCACTCTGTGTAATGAATCTATATAATATATGGGTTTCACTTTCTGAAATGAGTGACAAAAAATATTGACCTTTTTCATGATATTCTAATTTTTTTAGATGTACCTGTATTTGTTTTTTGAAACAATGTGAAAGTCTTTACTGTCACTTTTGATCAGTTTCATTCATCTTTCCTGAATAAAAGTGTTTATTTCTTTTAAAAGTCCCAAACTCAAACTTTTGAATGGTAAGCGTATCTCCTCAGTACAAATTCCACATAAGCCAGTTGCAGTCTGGGAAAACAGGCCCTTACCCTGAGTTTAAGGAGGATAGCATAAAAATGTGAAGAGATACACCTTTACTGTTGTAGACATATATTGCATTCCTCTCTGAAAAAATGTGGGATTTTAGGGAAGGTTGAGGATGTCAAAACCATCTGTGTTTACATGGGCAATATTAACATCTTCAATATTATGATCAAAACAGATAATAACTTTTTTGGAGTTTAGAATTTGCCAACTCTTTAACTTGCTGAAACCCTTTCATTTCATATAAACAAAGGGTTGTGCGAAGGAGTGTAACAAACCTCTTGTGTATCTCATGTGCCTCCAGTGCGTCCCAAGACCCAGTGTGAGCAGCACAGAGACAGTCTTCAGAGTGGAAATGGTGGTGTTCCTCTGGTAGGAGCCTTCATCCCTCAGTGTGATGAGGAGGGTCAGTACAGGCCGCAGCAGTGCCACGGGTCCACAGGTCACTGCTGGTGTGTGGACAGTAGAGGACAGGAGAGAGCGGGCACCCGAACTCCACCTGGAGCCCCGAGAATAAACTGTGAGGAGCCTGGTAAGAAATAGGCCTCTCTCAATTGGTCATCTGTCCTATTTTATATAATATTTCATTTTTAAATTAATTAATTGTCATGGGATCTGTTATAGAGAATTAGCAATTGCTCTTTTTGTTGGAATATCTCCAACTTCTAGATGCTTTATAAATTTTAGATGCTGTTATTTTAAAATCATTTATATACTGTCATAGTATTTATTAAAATTGTGACAGTTTTATTGTTATATTTTCAGTTTTCATTTTAATTATTTTAGTGTGAGTTTTAGTAATTTTTTTATGTGTATCTGTCATTTTGTAACTTTTAAAAAAATATTTATATGAATTTTAATTTATTTTAATTTATGTTTTAACATTTTTTTTTTATTATTAAACTCAATCGTATTTTATTTCTGTTAGTGGCCAAGGCAACCATTTTTCGGGGGGGTTTTTTCAGATCTTAGGTTTATATTTTTCATCTGATATTTTGTTTTATTTTAGTTCAGCTTTATTTCAGTTAACAAAAACAATTTTAGGAGGTTGAATGTTGTCAGAACCTCCTGCAACTTTAACTTTATCAAAAATTCTGTAACTTTATTGAAGCATTTTATGGCTGAGATTCTTGTACTGAGGAGTGTGATGGGACAATAACAAACCTCTTGTGTATCTCATGTGCCTCCAGTGCGTCCCAAGACCCAGTGTGAGCAACACAGAGACAGTCTTCAGAGTGGAAATGGTGGTGTTCCTCTGATAGGAGCCTTCATCCCTCAGTGTGATGAGGAGGGTCAGTACAGGCCGCAGCAGTGCCACGGGTCCACAGGTCACTGCTGGTGTGTGGACAGTAGGGGACAGGAGAGAGCGGGCACCCGAACTCCACCTGGAGCCCCGAGAATAAACTGTGATGAGCCTGGTAAGAATTAGGCCTCTCTCAATAGGTCATCTGTCCTATTTTATATAATATTTCATTTTTAAATTAATTAATTGTCATTGGATCTGTTATAGAGTGAATTACTCTTTTTGTTGGAATATCTCCAAATTCTAAATGTTTTATCAATTTTAGATGCTGTGACTTCAATGAAATTTATATTCTTTCATAGTAGTTATTAGAATTTTGACAGCTTTTATTTTTATATTTTCTGTTTTCATTTTAATTATTTTAGTGTACGTTTGAGTCATTTTATTATGTATATTTGTCATTTTTATAACTTTTTTAATATATCTATTAATTGTAATTTATTTTTATTTAAGTTTTAGCAATTTTAGTATTTCAACTCAAATTTATTTTATTTCTGTTAGTGGCCAAGGCAACATATCCGTTTTTCTTTTTTATACAAATTTTTAAGTTTACATTTTTCATTTGATATTTTGTTTTATTTTAGTTAGGGGAGGTTGAATGTCATCAGAACCACCAGTAACATTCATTTTTATCAAAAACTCTGTAACTTTATGGCTAAGGTTTTTGTACTGAGGGGTGTGATGGGAGAGTAACAAACCTCTTGTGTATCTCATGTGCCTCCAGTGCGTCCCAAGACCCAGTGTGAGCAGCACAGAGACAGTCTTCAGAGTGGAAATGGTGGTGTTCCTCTGGTAGGAGCCTTCATCCCTCAGTGTGATGAGGAGGGTCAGTACAGGCCGCAGCAGTGCCACGGGTCCACAGGTCACTGCTGGTGTGTGGACAGTAGGGGACAGGAGAGAGCGGGCACCCGAACTCCACCTGGAGCCCCGAGAATAAACTGTGACGAGCCTGGTAAGAAATAGGCCTCTCTCAATAGGTCATCTGTCCTATTTTATATAATATTTAATTTTTAAATTAATTAATTGTCATTGGATCTGTTATAGAGTGAATTACTCTTTTTGTTGGAATATCTCCAAATTCTAAATGTTTTATAAATTTTAGATGCTGTTATTTTAAAATAATTAATATTCTGTCATAGTATTTATTAAAATTGTGACAGTTTTATTGTTATATTTTCAGTTTTCATTTTAATTATTTTAGTGTGAGTTTTAGTAATTTTTTTATGTGTATCTGTCATTTTGTAACTTTTAAAAAAATATTTCTATGAATTGTAATTCATTTTTATTTATGTTTTAGCATTTTTTAATTTTTATTCAACTCAATCTTATTTTATTTCTGTTAGTGGCCAAGGCAACCATTTTTCGTTTTTTTTTGTTTTTTTCTTCTGATTTTAGGTTTATATTTTGCATCCGATATTTTGTTTTATTTTAGTTCAGCTTTATTTCAGTTAACAAAAACAATTTTAGGAGGTTGAATGTTGTCAGAACCTCCTGCAACTTTATCAAAAATTCTGTAACTTTATTGAAGCATCTTTATGGCTGAGATTCTTGTACTGAGGAGTGTGATGGGACAATAACAAACCTCTTGTGTATCTCATGTGCCTCCAGTGCGTCCCAAGACCCAGTGTGAGCAACACAGAGACAGTCTTCAGAGTGGAAATGGTGGTGTTCCTCTGATAGGAGCCTTCATCCCTCAGTGTGATGAGGAGGGTCAGTACAGGCCGCAGCAGTGCCACGGGTCCACAGGTCACTGCTGGTGTGTGGACAGTAGAGGACAGGAGAGAGCGGGCACCCGAACTCCACCTGGAGCCCCAAGAATAAACTGTGACGAGCCTGGTAAGACAGCTGCACACTAAGTTTCCAGTATGAAACTATTTTTCAGTCCTAAATAAAGCCAAAACAACGCATAAGACTATACAATCACAGCTAATCGAATATATACAGCTATGTGGAGTGGGATTTTGGTCTAATGGGATTTCACTGTGGATGGGGCAGCTACTCTAAGCAATCAAACTTACAAATTGGTATTGGTGAACGATAAAACGGCTAATAAAATCCCATAGATTTACCTTACAGCTATATATACAGACCAGAACACCATAGTAGAACACCATTGTGGCACCAACTTTCGCATTGGGCAACAAGTCTAAAACATGTTTGACAAGGTCACCACCATGCTGTTGTTTGTCAGTTATAGGCTTTCTAATTCAGTTCAAGTAGTTTCACATCATGTGTAAGTAATCACTCTAATTTGTAGCAGAGCTTACAGAGTCCAGTCTGCCCTGTGTTTATCCAGATTACAGAGCAGGAGGAAAAGTTGAGCTGCAAGTTTAGTCCATTTCAACACCGCCAATGAATGTGTCCTCTTCTCACCATAGTTAGAAATGCCTCCTATTTCATCTCGCTGTTTTGTAGCCAAAAATGACACTGACGAAGAAGGAAAGATGCTTTGGAACTTTCATTAGATGATTTAATTAGATTATATGAATCTGAAAACATATAGAAAATACACTGGTATGTAGTGGATGTCATAGGTTCAAGTTTAGATTATTATTATTGTATAAATTATTATTATTTTATATATTTAAATTATTTTAAAATAATATGTCTTATTAATAATGTAATCAACAATAACAACAATCATTAAAATATTAGATTATTTATAAAGATTTTTAATTATAAAAATGTCATTTTAAATTATTTAAAAATATATTTATTATTATTAAGCATCATCATAAAATCGATTCAGTAGTTTCACATTTTAAAATATCTTTAAAGGAGACAACGGATGCCCATTTTGCACAAGTTGGTATGATTCTTTATGGTCTTCATGAAATGTCTGCAACATACTTTGGTTAAAATTCCTCAATGGTCGTGTAAAACAAGATCCTTTTTATCTTGTCAAAAACAGCTCTGTTCACAGCGACTCATTTTGGTGCATGTCTCTTTAAATGATAATGAGCTACTGCTCACTCCACCCCCTCTTCCATTTTTTTTGTGTATTCGGTGGCGCATTACTATCAAAAACAAAACTAATCCACTGTGTCCTCATTGACTCATTGGAGTCAGTGGTCGTGGGCGGGGCTTGAGCAGTATGATGTCATACTGCTCAGAAAATCTAAACGGCTTGATAATTGAGACTGTTTAGGTTTTTTGGGGATTAAAAAAAAGGAGTGAATGGATTTTTATCATTGTAGGGTGGTTGTGTCCACACTTTTTTCTGCATTTGTTTCATGCTGGATTAGTGATTGGCAATTTTCATTGTTCACTTGATTAATCTGTTATTGGTTATGGGTAAAAATATCCCCATATCGTGCCGTAATATGTTCCTGGTTTCCCCTCTGACACCCAGTGCCTCCAACCCAGCGTCCAGAGACCGTCTGTGAGCGCTGGAGAGCCAGTCTGCTGCAGCAATATGGAGGTCAGCTGGAATCTCACCATTATCTACCTCAGTGTGACTCTGCAGGGGAGTTCAACCCAGTTCAGTGCTACGGAGACAGCAGCTACTGCTGGTGTGTGGACCAAAACGGGCGGGAAGTACCAGGAACCCGCTCACACAATGCTGTGAAACCTGCCTGTGAGTGTCGCTTGCTGTGAAACCCACAGTTGCCTCATGAAAAAACACTGGTTAAATGGTTTAATGCTTGAACATCTACATTCTCATGTTCACATTCAGAATAAGGGCCAACAAAACGATTTGTATTTCCAAGCTAAAATGATCTGCTACCTTTTAGGTATACCTACTGTGGCCCCTCCCACCATGCACCCTCTGCCACGCCCAGATGTGACCCCGCCTCCAACAGGCACATCCTTGCTCTACGCCCAGGGCCAGCAGATTGGTGTTTTGCCTCTCAATGGCACACAGATGGACAAGCAGAGATCTTCAGTGCTGCTCGCTCTACATGTGAGACTTGCACACTATTGATTGAAATACTGAAGTCTGCGACTTAAAGAAAAGTATACTAATTCTCTTCTGTTTACTCTTTCAGGGCTCTATAGTGGTCGGCATTGATTACGACTGCAGAGAAAGGAAAGTTTATTGGACGGATCTGGCTGGAATAATATAATATAATATAATATAATATAATATAATAAATATTTTTCAGCTCTGACGAGTCCAGAAGGTCTTGCTATAGATGTCGCCCGTAGAAGACTGTTTTGGGTGGACAGCACATCAGATAAGATTGAAACAACTAACCTTGATGGAAGTGACAGGCGTGTTCTGTTTGACACCAACTTAGTAAATCCCAGAGCCATCATCGTAGACTCCCCTACAGGGTATGTGCTTCAGATTGCTTAAAGATATATATATATATATATATATACTGTATATATGTGACCCTGGACCACAAAACCAGTCTTAAGTCGCTGGGGTATATTTGTAGCAATAGCCAAAAATACATTGTATGGGTCAAAATTATTGATTTTTCTTTTATGCCAAAAATCATTAGGACATTAAGTAAAGATCATGTTCCATGAAGATATTTTGTAAATTTCCTACTGTAAATATATCAAAACTTAATTTTTTTTTTTGCACCCTCAGATTCCAGATATTTAAATAAAAATTATTGTATCTCGGCCAAATATTGTCCTATCCTAACAAACAAACCATACATCAATGGAAAGCTTATTTATTCAGCTTTGAGATTTGAAAAAATTGACCCTTATATGACTGGTTTTGTGGTCCAGGGTCTCTCTCACTCACACACACACACACACACACACACACACACAAAGCTGTTTTAATTCTAAGTATTTTGCCAAGAGGCCAATCTGTGATGTTTATATCCTATATATACTGTATGGTTCTATTTTATAATTTCTTTTAATCAAAGCATATCATTTTTTTTTATAAACAGAAGCTCTAGACTGTCTAGAGCATAATATCACATCCTGTCGCCCTTATTCATTGCAAGGGCTGAAGTAACGTTGCATGCTTAAGTCTAATGCATATTAGTTTCTCAAATAGATGCCACCAATTCTTCATACAATGCATTTTTTTACTTTTTTTTTATAATAATAAGAATTCCAATATCAATATATATTTTATCTTTTATACATTCTGTATTTATATTTTGAGCATATTGGATCACTCACCATTAAAAGGGGCATCTCTGCTTAATTGATCCTATAATTGGCTGCGTTAATGAACCCTCATTTCCCCTCCATCACCAGCTTCCCATGCATTATTTTACATGAATGCTTCAAAACCTAAAATCGGTTATCTGCTTTGTGAAGAGTGTGATTGAGGGGAAGCGAGAGAACAGTGTAAACCATGCAGAGAAGCGAGAGAGCGAGAAGGTAAGGAAGTGTATGGGAGGCCGAGAAAATAAGAGAGCAAGGCTACAAATTGGCCCAGATGTTAGCGTTGCTTCAGTGTCTGGCCTGGCCCTCAGGTCTCCTGGGAGTGCAGGCAACGTGTGGGCCAGCAACTCCACAAACACAGTCATCTGCAACATCTGGAGCAACTGAACTAGGGTGGAGGACAGGCGATATGGGCCATGAGAATATCTGCTAATGCGTGTTTGTGTTTGTTGGTGCTGCGATTTGCGCTACATGCTATTTTGTTTTTGCTGTCACGCATAAATGTATGCATGCATGAGGTGATGGTTCTGATTAACAGGCCATCTGGGTTGAAGTCTGATGCATTAGTCAAGAATTTTATGAAACAAATATTTAATTATACAAGCAGTTGTGTAAAACTGCATTGTCAGCTGATTTTCTGCTCAACTGAGTTGGTCTTATAAATATCTTTTACCTTAAATAGCCTGAAATTGTGATTTCGTGCTTCTAAATCCTCAGGGAGAGACAAAAGTAACTAAATTTATGGTTAAATATCTTTTTTTGTCCAGCGAGTGATTCAGCTTAGCCATAGTGTAGGCTAGTTATACTTACCATTTCCTGAGGGACTGAGATTCTCTCATATGCCTTGCTTTAAAACATCTGGTTTAAATCAATGCTAAATAGAGCAGAGCGGTTTTGTATGTTTCTAGATTCAGGAAAACACGAATTTCAACACTTGCATAAAATTAAACTGTGTGCCATCTTTCCACCCATGTCAAAAACCTTGTATTTCAATGTAATGCATCAAATGCAAACTGCTTGGGTGGTCAAAAGTTTGAAATAAGTAAGATTTTTTTTCATGTTTTTGAAAGAAGCTGCTTATGCTCATCAAGGCTGCATTTATTTGATGATAACTACAGTAAAAACATTAATATTGTAAAATATTACTACAATTTAAAATAACAGTTTTCTCTAAATATATTTATTTGAATATTCTTGTAATGGCAAAGCTACATTTTCAGTAGCAATTAGCTCAGAAATCATTCTAAGATGCTGATTTGGTGCTCAAAAACCATTTCTTATTATTATCAATGTTGAAAACAATTTTTTGCTGCTTAATATTTTTGTTGAAAGTGTGATACACTACCATTAAAAAAGTATGTTAAAAAAAAGAAGAGAAATTAATACGTTGCCATCACAGGAATAAATTGCATTTTAAAACATATTAAAATAGAAAGCAGTTGTAAATGCAGCCTTGGTGAGCATTAGAGACTCATTTCGAAAACATTAACAAATTTTTATTTATTCCAAACTTTTAACTGGTAGTGTATAATTTTGAATTATTTTATAATTTATAATTATTATATTTTAAAAATTCCCAAAAGCTAAATCCTTTTTTTTTTTTTTTATCTAATCTTTACACAGAACACTCTACTGGACTGACTGGAACCGAGAAGCTCCTAAAATCGAGAGCTCCTCTGTGGATGGACAAAACCGAAGACTCCTGGTACAAGATGGCATCGGACTGCCCAACGCTTTGACCTACGACTCCACCACACGCCAGGTCTGCTGGGCCGATGCAGGTATGTGCTTCGCTCAAAACCCAGACTATAAACTACCAATTTACAATCTAGGCTAGTTTTTGCTTAGGCATACTTTTGGTATGTTTGGTGCACGTTGCAACTTATTCTGACCATGTATATCTGAATTGGATGACACCAAGATATCAGAAAGGCACTGAAAAACCTCATGAATAACCTCTTTTTTTGTGTGTTCTGTTGGACAGGAACCAAGCGCCTTGAGTGTATATCACCTAATGGGACAGGGAGACGTGTGGTCCACAGTAACCTGAGCTACCCCTTCAGTATGGTTGCCTTCTCCAATCACTACTATTACACAGACTGGAGGAGGTAAAGCAGCACAGCACATGCATGTACAAGACCATATGACCACCAGAATCATAATCAGAAATAGTTCTATTCATAAATGTTCCTATATTACATTAAAAAAAAAAAAGTCCTTCATGCCTGTTTCACTTCACTTTCTGCATCCCACTGCACCTTGTGCTCCATTCACTTCCATTCATACTCAGTACAAAGAATACAGAACATGAAGCAGAGTAGATAATGTGGGTTTTTATCTTTATAAAAGGTATTGTTATTTGCTATTAACAACTTTATTAAGAACAGAAGCCCTGGAGCTTACTCATACTTGTTGTGAGGTCCAGTTAAAGTTGAATATGACTGTCCCTTTATCAAATTAAATTGTTATAAAAATGACTAATCTTATTTTCTTTTAGGGATGGGGTCATCGCTCTCAGTCGAGATAACCAGTCAACAGATGAGCACCTGCCTGATCAGAGGTCTCATTTGTATGGTATTACAGTCGCCCCGCCACACTGTTTATAAGGTACTTATACACTGTTTATACTGTACTATAAGGTACCGGTAAAGCATGTAAGTTTTAGTCTAATACATTTTCCATGCATACATATATATATATAATTACATTTTGGTCAAATATATGCAGCCTTAGTGAGCATAAGAGATTTCTTTCAAAAACATAAAAAAATCTTACCAGCCCAAAACTTTTGAGTGGTATATTGAAGTACTCTGTATATGCTCCCAATGGACTTTTGCTAGTGTAGTTTAGTAAATTAAAAAAATTATTTGTGATTTAAAAATATTGCATGAAACAGATTTTTCTAAAGTGTCTGTATTTGTCCAGATACACCTAAAAGCACATCACGTTTACAATGTAGCAAAACGTGGATGACCTCTTTTCCAGCAAATAACAGGATAACACATTTCAGACATGAACCGTCAGCTACAGGCACTTAAGAGAAAAGTACAAGGCACCTGCTGCCAAATCACTGTAGTTTTAACAGCGGCGATGAAACACTGGTGTCACACTGGTACTTCAAAGCATGTCGGTTCTTTACAGACCAGAAAACAGTCAAACAAGATCAGAGTAAGTGTTTGTATATCTGTACTAGCATATGAAAGCAGGCAATTTCCTGCAGAAAATTAAATGTTGTCGTGTTTGCCCAAATGTGGCTTTCTAAGGATTTCCGACGAATTGTGTTATAGGGAGACGCTAATGACAGAGCCAGCGTTACATGGTGCTATTTTGGGCGAGAGTTTGGAGAGCTTGTGCTGTGGGAATCGCGACGGACACGTAGACTCCGAAGAGAGCCGATCGCAGAACCCGCAAGTCTCGACGAACATCACCGGCAATGCCAAAGTGCAAATGTACAAACATGAAAGCGTGAATTTTTTCTCAAAATAGTTTTGTAAATTTGTTTTATACCTCATTTCTTTCTACTGTACTTTTGTATGTGATTTTGTGTTAAAAAAAACTAACAAATAAAAAAAAAAAAATACCCTAAGAGTTTAGTTGTGTAATTTGAATGTTTTTTAATACACTAAAATAATACTTTGGGGAAAAAAAGTACTACCCAAAGTGGTCTTTTACCAACCTTCATTTTTTTTAATCTTTTGTAAGATGTGATATTTATAACAATGAAATGTGATTGACAACTTTGTTATGTCTGCTCGCATTATGTTTCAGATTTTCAAATATTTTTTGGCTCTGCAGTGATTTTTTTTTTTTTTTTAAATACCGAATGCACAGTTGGAGGTATAAAGCAGAACAGGTTGAATTTCTTGCTCCAGGGTAAAACAAACTTACAGTCTGCCTACAAAACTTTTCTGCGTTGCATTAAGGTTTATTATGCAACAAAAACAAATAGTCCAACTTTTTATGGAAACCCATGTGACATTTCATAAGTGCCTCTACATAAGGCTACAATGAAATTACATTTTATAATAAATCTTTGCATTTTTTCAATTACAGGGCAAAGAAAATGAATGATAAAGAAAAAAAAAACACTCCAGTTTTTGAATTCAAACAAAATATCTGTGGTGTGGTTAATGAAAACAAGCATACTTCACAGAGCATGTCTTGTGGTCTCTGCGGCAAGCTCCAAGCAGATGTTTTTATCTGCCCACCTTTCCAAGGCGGTGATCTGTCTTGGGGTCGGCGATGATGGCCTGAACTGCCACGATGGCCTCGTTGATATTGGTTTGCAACTCTCTGAGCTCCTCGATGTGAAGCAGGCGAAGAACCCTGGCCGCTTCGTTCAGAGTCGCATCTGGAATGGGCAAACAAATTCCTTGTGTTTACAATCCCTTCGAAAGTTAACAACAAATTAAATGCAGAATGTGAACGTGATGGTGCACTAATTGTGTCTTAAAGAAACATGAAGAAACAATCTGAGAAGCTGATAAAACAGTTTTGCAAGTGCAAACCTACCTCCGGTATCAAATCCTAAAATATGCTTGTCAAGAGCCACTGGTAAACCCTATGAAAGAACAAATAAGCTTTATTTATAATTAATAATTGAGCACTAACAATAATTGAACAACAAATCAGCATATTACTATGATTTCTGAAGGATCATGTGACACTAAAGACAGGAGTAATGGCTGCTGGAAATTCAGAAATTAAATATTACTATTTGAACTGTTTTTATTGATTGATTGATTGTTAAATGCAGCCTCTGTGGACATAAGAGAATTCTTTCAGAAACATTTTTTTTTTTAATTTATTTTTTTTCAAACTTTTATATGGTAGTGTAGCTGTATATCAATCCAGTTTTAAGAAGTCTAGCAGATTGATTTCTTTTCATAAAGCCATTATATGCTTACCTCTTTTGCTTGACTGGCCTTTGCAATAGCATCAGGGGTCAGACGTTCCTGTATCAGGATCCTAATGGCCTGTGATGAGAAATAACAGAATAATTTCAGTTTAAAATGCACTGGATATAGACTAATTTTTCGTACTATTGGCACAAATAAGATACTTACTTTAAGCATTACTAAATAGTCTTCATGCCGCTGAATTTTGAGTAGATTAGCAAGAGCCAATACACCAGCCTTAAAATCTGGATTGTTACCTTAAGAGAGAAATCACTTAATTTCAGTCCAACACATAATTTGAATTTTTTTTTTCCAATGCAAAACTGTTGTTGAACCAACCAAGGAACTCTTTGGAGATGATCTCTGAAAATGTTGCCAAATAATGTTGCCCCCCCCACAATTCACAAATCAAACACTTTGACCAAGACTGTAATAAAGAAAAAAAACAACAACAGCGGAGCCCAATATTTCTGTTCAGTGAGCCTGTTCCTCCCTGTGTGTCTGGAGCATTCCTCCAGCTGTGGGTCACTGGCTCGGTTCAGCCCACTCATTGTGGGTTGTGGAGAGAGGTGGGTGTGTAATCAGTTCATTCAGACTTTAGTGCTCAAGGTGGTTTCTTTAATCGGCCTCCTCCTTCTCAACAACAGGACTGGAGACTGGAAAGATGGTCGGGGGAGGGAATACTCACTGTCCAGATTAATTAATGGGTCTACAGACTTTTGAGCATCACTGGCCTCCGTCGCAGGTTTGCAGTTTCGATATTTCTCCACTGTGGGAGGAAAAATAACATAAGCGGTCAGTGCAATGCAAACAAGGGGTCTCAACTTGTCAAAATTATTTGGTAGGAAATCTAGGAATATCTTGCATTAAGCATTTCTGAGGATAAATGGAATCAAGATTGTGCAATCAAATGTGTGGGACAGCTGCAAAAGTTACATGTTATGCAAACTTTGCAAATACTGCCATCTAGTGGTGTGGGATTGATCATAATAAAAGGCCAGAACAGGCATGTTATAATAATAATTGGCCATCTTGTGTTCACTTGGCTAATTCATTTTTATTTTTTGAGAGCAAATAGTGTGTAAGTGTTCATCTAATCTTCTTACTCATACAATACAGTTCAAAAGTTTAGAGTTAGTAAGAATTTTTAAATGTTTTTGAAATAAGTTTCTTATGCTCACCAAGACTCCAAAAACAGTTAGTTTAATTAATTAACGAATGAATGAATGTTTTCCATTTGAATATATTTTAAAATATATTTTATTCCTTTAATAAAAAAAGTTGAATTTTCATTTAATGTCTAATGTCATTCTAATATGCTTATTTGATGAACAAGAAACTTCTTATTATGATCAACGATGTTTAATATTTTTGTGGAAACCATGATAGAATTTTTCAGGATTCTTTGATGAATAGAGAGTTCATAAGAGCAGTCTTTATTGGAAACAGAAATCTTCTGTAACATTATAAATGTCGTTATTGTATTGTGTAATATGTGCCAACCTACTCTCTGAATGTTGTATCAGCCATTAAAAGAACTATAGTAGTCAACCACTGGTTATACTTACAAATAAATAATAATCATACCATTGTCTCCATACTCAAAACGAACAGCAAGACCCAGTAGCCAGTCAACAGTCTCCTGTCTTTCCTGAGCGCTGAATGGACAGTTCACATCTTGAAGGTACTGCAAACATACATGTATTTATATATAATAATAAAGGACATGACAAACTTGAGGGTATTAATTCCTTTAGGCATACAAACAGACATTAGACATATACATATATAAAGATAAATCTGTCTCACCTTTTCAAAATGTTTAGGCCAGTCTGAGCTTGGAATATTCCTGAGATTTCCCCGTTCTTCAATTTTGTAGTGTCTGATTTTTTGATCTTCCAGCCAAACTATGAAATTTTTGAATTCCGTTTCATCTGGGTAAAGAGCATATACGATATTAATAATACATTTTGCATATGGATTTAGCCCTCATTTCCATCATCACGACAGCAATACAGCACTAAAGCAATATGACAGACTAAATGCCGATGATACAGAGTGACTATTTCAGATAGTCAATTCAAATCTAAAATAGTGGGATGCTTACTTATTATTATCGTGAATGTACATTATCAATATTAGGAGCAGGAGGTGGCAACACGTCAATCACTTCTTACCTTTACAGTCAAATCCAGGAGGGTTGTGATAGTCCAAGGCTGTAAGCTTTCTACGAAACATCCCTTTCAACTGGAAAACCTATTTAAAGAAGCGAACAGATGTATAATTTTGCTTGGAAAGCCACAAAATGCTACAGCCTTCAAATGTCAGGGGGATACCGGAAGTAGAATAATCTATATTATGTTTTCAAAATAAAGGTCCGTATTTGTGGCGATGCTGATTAGATCACCGCCTTTGATATTTGATAAATATTTAATATTTCGTAACTTTTTCTTCTTCTTTCTCTTGTTATTATTAGTATTATTATTATTTAATATGAGGGCACATTTATCCAAAAATGTAATTTTAATATCATTAAAATACACTTGAATGGAGATACATAGACTTTACTAGACTGGTTATGCTCTGCTGTTTGCTCTCTTATAAAGAATAACTATACGGTATAATGTGAAATAATAGGCATAAAACATCATTTTTTAAATAAATGGATGGAAAACGGCATTATATTTGCTAAGTATTGAATGTGTACCTGCAAACATAGATTTTCAAAACTAATTGTTGCAAAATAACACTCAACACTGTTTCACACCGTTCAATCTTGTATTATGGGGATACTTTATGCACTGAAAAATATATAAATATTTTATATTATGTTGAGTTACTTCTTGGTTTGAAAAAAAGCAAAACACTATGTTTTTAAATAAAACTTTTAAATTGTTTTGTGAAATAATAGGCATAAAACATCATTTTTTAAATAAATGGATGGAAAACGGCATTATATTTGCTAAGTATTGAATGTGTACCTGCAAAGTTACTTCTTGGTTTGAAAAAACGCAAAACACTATGTTTTTAAATAAAACTTTTAAATTGTTTATTTCTTACATTTTTATCTTCTCATGCCCTTTTCCCAGTTTTCCTGTCCACATGGTTTTAAATTAATATATTTTGAGTATTGCATGAAAGTGGTTATATAATTTATGGTGGGCATTAATGTAAAATAACTGTTTATTCTGTCCTGATATAAACTGTTGCTTTATTGCTTAATGCGTGTCAACTTTATAAAACACTGTATAATAATACACTAATTATAATTTATAATCATATAATTGATTATTTATAATATTATAATGCTCTGCTGTTTGCTCTCTTATAAAGAATAACTATACGGTATAATGTGAAATAATAGGCATAAAACATCATTTTTTAAATAAATGGATGGAAAACGGCATTATATTTGCTAAGTATTGAATGTGTACCTGCAAAGTTACTTCTTGGTTTGAAAAAAAGCAAAACACTATGTTTTTAAATAAAACTTTTAAATTGTTTATTTCTTACATTTTTATCTTCTCATGCCCTTTTCCCAGTTTTCCTGTCCACATGGTTTTAAATTAATATATTTTGAGTATTGCATGAAAGTGGTTATATAATTTATGGTGGGCATTAATGTAAAATAACTGTTTATTCTGTCCTGATATAAACTGTTGCTTTATTGCTTAATGCGTTTCAACTTTATAAAACACTGTATAATAATACACTAATTATAATTTATAATCATATAATTTATTATTTATAATATTATAAATTGAACTGTTATAAATATTTGCTATTTATTTAATAATTGCGCATGAACAATTCCCCATTGTGTTGTTTATTGCAGAAATATAATTCAATACAAAAGAAACAAATACAAAGAACATAGAACATATGGGGGAATACAAAGGAGAGAGAAAAAGAAAGGAAAAAAATTACAATTTACCTAAAAAACGTTCTATAATAAGAGATGTCTTCAGAGCTTTTTAATTAGAGGAGACTTTTTGAAGTGTTAGTGTAGATCAGAAGAAAATATTTTGCAGTTGGGTTTAAATGTAAGGTATCTAGCTTTGTGTATATCATACAAATAAAGTTTAAGACATCATCTAACTCCTTATTTTCAGCCACTGTGTTTTGTATTTTTGATCAGCGTGTTTAAGGCCCTGCATTCTCCCTCCTGGACACCTGGGTGCAGCAGAACATCTCGAGCTTGTCGGGAAGCAGCAGGAGCTCGAGTCGCCTTGTTGCTTTGGCGAAAGGCTTTGTACGTACAATACAACAGTGAAGCTCTAAAGACATTTAAAACATCAAGAGAACGCATGAAATCCCCCGTTTGACAGCTGATATTTATCACTTCGTAAGTAGACATTTACAACTCTCACGCAAATCTCTTTCAATGTAAAGCATCATTTCCTCTCTGTTCCCTCTCATATGTAGCCTGCTAGCGTTATGCTAATGCTTAACGCGGGTCTGTGAGTACGATGCTGATGATCAGTAGTTTCGTCCTCAGTTCTCATGGTAAAACCATTAATACGCGCTCATAAGCGCACGAGATCGCCTTTTTAAAAGATATTGGGTTGCATTATTAACATGGCGGAATAATGCAATGCATGCAGGGAGTCTGCCACAGGCAGCTCAGATTCAAGCGGTAACTGCTGCACAACGTGTGCACGTGTGGGTTATTAATGGGAATTAGTGCACAATATTAATGGCTGAAAGCAAATCCTGTATCATGGATATACCTGTTCTTACCAAGGACTCTATTTAACTACTAAACTGTTGATATTTACATTAGTGGTCGACCGATATGGGTTTTTTGACAGCTGATACCGATATCTTGGAAAACGGTGTGGCCGATATAAAGCCGATATAATTTTATTTATTTTAATTTATATTTAAGAAATTTGAAATCATTTGAAAATGGATTAAAAATAATTGTGTAAAATAAACATACTTATACTTTAGAAGACAAAGCATTTTTCACAAATAAATAAATATTTAATAAAAATCGAATTAAAAAGGAAGTAAACACCGTAACCAACAGGGCACTCAGTATTCAGTTTGTGTGCATTGGGAATCATATTAATATTATTATTATTATTTTTTCAAATAAAGCCAAGGTAACACTCATTTTACATACAGCACGCAATGGAAAAAAAAAAAAGTGACGTGACATGTGGCCAAGTATGGTGACCCATACTCGGAATTAGTGCTCTGCGTTTATCCCATCCAAAGTGCACACACACAGCAGTGAACACACACACACCGTGAACACACACCCGGAGCAGTGGGCAGCCATTTTTTTGCTGCGGCGCCCGGGGAGCAGTTGGGGGTTCGGTGCCTTGCTCAAGGGCACCTCAGTCGTGGTATTGAAGGTGGAAGAGAGCGCTGTACATTCACTCCCCCCACCTACAATCCCTGCTGGTACGAGACTCGAACCCGCAACCTTTGGGTTACGAGTCCGACTCTCTAACCATTAGGCCACGACTTCCCAGTCGTCAAAATGACATGAATATGACAGTGGGCAAATGCATAAAGTGCGGCATAATTGGAAATCACTAGTTTAAAGTTTGTCGATCGTTCTCAGCGGCGTCAAAATAAAAGTCCCGCCTCGAACACATCGGCCAAACAGAAAAACTTGTCGGCCGATGCCGATATTTGAAAAATTCCAAATATCGGCTGATATATCGGCCTTGGCGATATATCGGTCGACCACTAATTTACATATAATGGTCCTTCCTACTATGCAGTAAATGTTTCCATCATACTTGATCAAATATATACAATATTCAAAAAGTCACAATGTGACGGTTGTAGCGATATATTGTGACGTACTTCAGAGTATAACAGATTATTGAAAAATAAAAGAATGTCTGCCCCACTTTTTCAGCACCCTTGGTTCCAGAAGTGTTTCTCTTATAAGGATTTTTTAAAAGTTTTCTTTAAAGAGTTATGAGCCATGAACCGAACTAACCAGGTGAATCACAACATTACAAACTTTGGTTTGAAGCAAAAAAATATTTGAAAATCAGACAAAAAAGACAAAGGTAATAAGACTGTGTACTTAATTAACGGCTTTAATGAGGAAAAGAACTACAATCCCATGAAGCATTGCAAATGACAATCAGATTAAAAATAGTGTAGTAATATGTAGGGCTGCACAATGCTGTCAGTAATTTAATGTTAGTTAATGTAATAAACTAGCCATAAATAAGGCCTGATTTCTGCAGTAATATTTTCAAATGACCTACATTTTTCCCCCCTCAATAAGTGTCCTGCAACACATTACTGAATATAAATGCGAAACTATTTCCTGTTGACTACTGTCATCAACTGCCTATTTTCTATGTATATTAGCATTACTTTTCCTGCTTTATATGCTGCTGTGTTTTATTTTTTTTACAGATATACAGCTATGTCGGTGTAATTTTCCATGCAGAAACACTGCACATTTCCATTTTCTTAAATGTAATAAAACTTGACTCAGTTTTATGTTCTTGACATTTTCAAGCTGCTTTGCTTTGCAAAATATTGACTACAGCGTTTTTTCGGTTCCAGCAGTGAACCCACGTAATGTCACAGAGATCGAAGCGTGAACATGAGGCTGAGAGTGCAGGTTTGCTGTCAGATATATTTGGATCTCTCTGGGTTTCATATGGCATGGGAATGATTTAGCTAGGCTTTAGTATAAAACTAAATATGAATAGGACTCAATCACTGAATGGATGGAAAAGTTTGAGCAGTGGCCTGGTAGTGTAAGTGCTCTGGCATGTGTTATTGTGATATTCCTGCAGCATATATATATATATATATATATATATATATATATTCTTACCCGTGTCTTCTCTCACTATCCTTGTCAATAAAATAATCAATAATCTATTAACTTTGACCATTAAATGCATACTTTTTATGGATGGCAGATTACTTAAAAATACATATTTATGTAAATCGTGTAATACATAATTAAATGAAAAAATCATAAAAATCATTAAATTAAAAAGAATTTGTATTTATTCATGAATTAATATATTGCATAATGCAAAGAAGTCTATGCTATATAGTCGCTAATTATGAAGTCCTGCAGAGTGACAATCTATTTTTAAACTGTCGTTTTCTTGGGGATCCTTAATGAAGAGAAGCATGCAACTTTCAAGAACAAGACTTAAGAGAACGGTAAGTTTCACCGTATTATTAAAATAAAGATGTCACTGTTTGTGAAAACTGTCAAAGTAGATTAAAAGTCAAGTTTGACATTTTATTTATTTGAGTTCCCAAAAGACAACAGTGGCACAGAAATGACATGCTTCACCTTTAAATAGACTTTGGATTCTATTACATGTATACCATTAAAAATC